CCCCCCCCCATGCGTTTATTATAAACTCACAACATCAATCAGGCAGGGAAATTCGCCGCCCTTCCAGCTCTTGATGAGCTCCGTAGCGTCATGCTTCTTCCACTCCTCCTCGTCGTCGCCGAGGTAGCCCGAAAACGCCTTGCGGCCCCAGGGACACCGGCCCGGGTTGGCAATGGGCGCAAACGCGCTGACCGACTTGTACTTGCCCGGGTTCTTGAGAAACAGGGTAAGCGCGCCGTGGCCGCCCATCGAGTGGCCCGTGATGGAGATGCGCCCACCGTCGAGCTCCTCAAACGCGCCGCAGACGGCGTCGGGCAGCTCCCGCGCAATGTACGTCTCCATCTTGTAGTTGGTGTCGTAGGGCGCGCGGACGGCGTCAATGTAAAAGGAGGCGGCGCTGCCGAAATCCCAGTCGTCGTCCTCGCCGGGCAGGCCGAGCCCGCGCGGCGACGTGTCCGGGTACAGCAGGGCAAGGCCGAGCGGCGCGGCGTGGGCCTGCAGGAAGCCCTTGTCCGTGACGTTGTCGGGTGTGCACGTCAGGCCGGAGAGGTAGAGTAGCACGGGCGCCGGGTGGGTGGCTGAGGCCGAGGCGGGGATGAAGAGGTTGAGGTTCATGGCCGTGCCGGTTGTGGCGGACTGGTGGGTGAGCTTGAGCAGGCGTCCGCCAAAGACGCGGATGGAGGCGTTTGTGGTGAAAGTCATGGCGACGAAGTTGTGCAGATTTTGGTGAGAGTCTTTTATTCTTTCTTTGTCTTGTCGGCCCCGGATATTCGGAAAGATGAAATTGGAGAAACAAGTTGAAATATGAAGGGTTGGCGAAAGCTGTCCTGACGTCAAGTTGATATTCTTTGCTAGGCTACCCCGCCAACCCACCATCACCGCCCCGGCCCCGTGATCGGTGCTGCAACCCGTATGGCCGGCCGCTAAATTTCGACTTGGCATGGACCTGTTTTACGGTGCTTGCGAATCGTTGTATAGCTTTGCCTTCGTCTCATGAAGACTTTGGTCTGCTGCACGCAGGTTTCTTGGGAAAATCTGCTCTCCATTTTACTTACAAGTCACGTCCATTCACGCAAAACGCCATAGAGGCCCTGAATGTTGAGTATATTGATATTTCGCTTCATAAGAGTGTCATTACGTCCGCATCTCGCCCGTTCTCTCTACCGCTTCATCGTGAAGCAATCAAAGGAGCGAATGAGCGTGTTCCACTGACTCGCCGCCAAGTTGAACTTGTGTTCGTAGTCAAAGTCGATATGGCCGTTCGTGCACCCCGTGGGCGAGGTGCAGATGGTGCCGCAGTCGCTCAGGCGCGGATAGCAGCCAAAGAGGTCGTCGTCGGGCGCAAAGGTGCTCGAGTTTTGCCAGAACGGCGCCTGGAGCTCGTGGCACTTGTAGAGCTCGTACTTTTGGTAGACGCAGTCGCCGGTGGCATTGGCGCCGGTGCAGATGAGGACCTGTTTTCGCACGGCAAACGTTTTGTTAGTCAAAGCTGTTTTCCCCCTCGAACTAGTTGGTTGGAAGGCGTTTCGTGTCTTGAAAGGCACTTACACCACCGATCTGGCGCTTCGATATAGCAGAGGCAGATGCGGCTGCAAGAAACGAGGCAGCAATGGCGAGGGCGAAAAATCTCATCTTGTCGAGGAGGGTTGAAAGTGTCTCAAGGTGGGGAAGTGAGGTTTTGTTAAGTGGTTGCTGGATATGGATTCTGATTCACGCCAATAAAACTGTCTTTACAGTGACTTGGTTAAAAAAAGAATTCGTTCCGCAAGGGCTGGGGCTGCTCGTGCATTTATGTACTGACACCTCGTACGATTACTTTTTGTTGGAGAGCAGGTGCAACATGCTGCGTCATACCTGCCGTCTTTGCAAACTTGTTCCCTTTTCCACGGAGGGCAGGGGCCACCCACACACGCTGGCAACACTAAGACTCGACCAGCCCGTCTTATAGGCGCAAATTACCAATTGTCGTAGTTGAGCCGTCTCTCTGCTATCCGTACAGTCCTGTGAATCACCTACCAAAAACTTGCAGGCGGGCTTCGCGGGGGTGGTCGGGACACTCAGACAATCAGACTCCAAGTACCAGTGTGAGCGCGAGGCCCCGCTGATCGTCGTGTTTGCCTCCTCCTGCCAGCCTCTGGTAACTGACCCTGGGTTGCCGGGCACGACGGAATGATCAGATTCGGGACCTTTCTCGTAACACTCGTGAATATAAAGTTCCTTTGCGAGGTTTGGTTTGCTTCACCGTTGCGCTCCAGCACTACCCTTGCACATGGAATCGAGCAAGTGCGCATACCAAGTTCAAACGATGGCAAGGCTCGAAAACTGAAGTGCCCTGTTTCATCAGCTGTTCCATCCATGTATCTATCTATCATTCTCTTTTCAGCTAAATAATAAATAAAACGAAAGCTTGAAAGCGTTCCAACATTCGAACGGGACTGGCAAATTGTGCTCGAGCTCAAGTCCATCGCTCTGCTTGGCACGACGTCACTGGTCTCAAGCCAGGGCCATACTGTCTCGGACGTCTTCAGCGCATGTAGCCGCAATTTTGTTGAGACTATTCTATCTATCTGTAGGGCAAGTGCGATTCTTGATATTCTTCGACGACGGTTATTTCCAGGGATATTGCTTCATTCTCCAACGCCGGTCGTTGATCTTCGCATCCCCGAGATGTTAGGAATTCAGAAGCTTGCCATCGGTGTTACGTGACAAGTGGTACCCAAATAGCAATTGCGCACCCTGTCAAACTAGTGCATGCATAGGTAGTTGTGACGGCTCGCTATCCAACGCGATAGTATGAACAAAGATGCTGCAGTTCCTTGCTGCACAGAAAGTTTAAAAGAGTGTGCAAAGAGGTGATTTGGTGTTTTGTTATAGATTATTCGAGAAATTCATCTTGGGTATCTAGTGACTATGCTTTTGCGCTCTCGGATGCTTGTTCAATTTCACAGAGCACGTTATGATCAATGTGACGCAGAACAATATCGTCGCGACAAAGAATGGCAGAGCCGTCCACTTACCGCCGACATCAAGCCCCATTCTGAAGACGGTGGCGAGAACGGGACCAGCCCCAGCCTCACTGACTAGCTGGAAGACTGAGTGTGCTGTAAAGAGCATGGCAATATGGGACGAGTCAACCATCTCGGAAGCCATGCTGCGAAACGCGAATTCATAGCCACCACCCAGCTGCTGAATCACCAAGCTGGCAATGAAGACGCCGCCGCTCCCAGCAGCAGTGAGACAGGCGCTCCCGATGACGACCATACACAAGCTGCCAATGGTCATCCACCAATCCTTGATGATGGGAGGCAGCCGGAACTTGGCCAGCAAGACCTGGCTGATTGCGGGAAGAATCGCCGCGGTGAGGATAATGCTGACTGCTCCTTTGATGGAATCCAAAAATGACGTCTCGGCCATGGTCCAGCCAAAACGCTTCGCAGCGTACTGCTGCTTCAGGTTATCACCCGCCTTGCCCAAGGTCGAAAAGATGGTGCTGAAGAGCAGGATGCCCAGCGTGGCGTTCTTCAGGAAGATGATCCTGGTCACCATCCTAGTCTGCCGAACCAGATCCCAAACCAGCGGGCGAATGTCCCACCAGGCATGTTTCGTCGCGTCGGCGTCATCCTGCAGGGCATCCGCCCGCGCACGCCTCACCGCGGCATCGCTGCGCGTCTCGGGGATCACGGTCGTCAGGGCCAAGACGAGGACCCAAAAGCCAATGCCGAGGCCAAAAGCGAAGCGCGCGCCGCGGCGCATGGCAAAGTAGGTGATGGGCCCGCCGAGCAGGGTGGCGGTGTGAAACGCGGTCCCGAGGTAGAGGATCGCGGTCGCGCGGTACGCCTCGCTCGAGATGTCGCTGGCAATGGTGTACAGAAGCGCCATGTAGGTGGATGCGCCGCCGCCGAGAAGTAAGAAGGCGCCCTGCAGCCACACCAGGCGGAGCGGCAACACGTCCGGGAAGCTGTACACGGTCACCTGCCAAAAGAGCGACAGCAGCACGCCCAGGTTGGCCAGCTGCAAGATGCGCATGCGCCCGTGGCGGTCAGCCGCAATGCCCCAGGACACACCCGTCAGGATGCTGGGCAGCAGCATAAAGGTAAGCTCCCATCCGTTGACCAGAGCCAGCTCCACCTGCACGCGGTTGCTCTTGCAGAGGGGATGCCGGCTGAGGTCCGCACCAGACGGCAGCAGGTCGGGGAACATGGCGCGACAGATGAGGTTCTCGCGGATCTGGAGCACCGGCGTCGTCAGCAGCGCCTCGCCCACGACGAGGCAGAAGAAGCATAGCAGGCACGGGATGGCGATGCGCAGCCGCTGCGCCGTGGTGCGGTTGTCGGCATTGTCATCGTGGTCGTGGTCGTGGGCGGCGGCGGCGGCTGTGGCGGTGGCGACAGAGCTGAAGTTGGTAGCATCGGCTTCGAAGGGGTTGGTCAAGCCTCTTGGCGGCAGCAGCGGATCGCCTTCGGCTGCATGTCTCTCGTTGTTGGTCATGGCAGCCGTTGAGCCAATACGATGCCCAAGTCTGAAAGCTGCGAGTAAAATCTCTTCTTGCTTTACCTCTTTTTTTTTTTTTCGTGGCTGGCTAGCAGCGCCTTAAAAACGAGGGGACTGCGTCATTTACCTTAAATGTGCCAACGCAACAACTTGTAAGCAAGAGCGCCAGCTGAAGCCACTCGCCAGGACAACGTGTTACATCGGCCGAGATGCCAAGTGCCACCAATCAAGCGAGCAGATTTTGAAGCCAGACTGGTAAGGCTCGACACCGCTGGGCGGCAAGAAACGTGGGGGAGGTAAGCATTTTGCTGACGGGAGATCCTTGGCGGGTCGGCGGGCTCGAGATTGGGTTTCGGCCCAAACGACTTGCATGGAAGATCATTCATGGAAAAGGCTCACGATTGCCTTTTGCATGCCGCACAACCTCTGTTGCGCTCATTTTTTCCGTTCCACGAATGAAATATCAAGACGAAGAATAACTCTCTCCCAGAAGCTTACGTATTAGCCTTCTCGGTCACTTCCTTACTAAGCTTATCTACACGTGGCAGACGTACAACTCGTGTTGCTTTTCCATTTTCCCTCTCCAAGTAGACCGATATTTCTAACAGGATATTATTGAATAAATACACCAAAACATTTTTGTCTTTTTTGTAGTTTGGTAAACGCCGCGCTCATGCATTCGTTAGGGGCTGGAGAAGCCTTCCTCAGTGCTCCGCTGGCAGATCCATAGGCAACAAAAAGCCACGGCGTGCGCGTCTGTCCAGTGTTGCCACATTTGTTTTTCCCCTTGCGACCCATTTGTGAAACCGATTTAGATGGTGCGCTGGTGTTGGAGGCACTCGTTGGTATCTGGACTTGCTTATTGGAGGGGCCAAATGTCCTTATCGCCGTTTGCTGGATGCCGCCCAGCTGACTTGATCAGCAGCCTTACTGAAGAAGCTCTTCGCAGGTCCAGTCCTCGTAGCTATGATTGGGTGGTTAGTGGTAAAGTATGCCTCCTTTGGCAGAGAGACCAACGTACTAGCCATCCGGCAGGTATCGGCGCACAATCAGAGGAATCTTCTTCTCGCGGAGCTCCTTGATGGCAATCTGCAGAGGATCCGTCTCGCCTTCCAGGTCGACTAGCACAGGCGCATTCATGCTACAGTCAATAATACGTTAGCTTTCGAGGCTGCAGCGATGCGTTCCTCTCGGGTCGCCGTACCTAATCTGCAAAGCGCGGGTACCCAGGATGCGCGCTCTCTCGTATTTGGTCATGTATGGTGTCGTATTGCGCTCCTCGTCGGGAATCTTTTTATCTCTGCTTGACTTGTCGGTACGGCTGGCGTTGGCGGCCGCAGAAGGGTCGCCCGAGACGACGATATTGTCCTGGTCCTCGCCATTGGCCAGCTGGTCCTGATCTTCATCCCCCTCTGCGACTTCGGGCTCGAAAAACTCGGTCACATCTTCTTCCTCAAAGACGTCGTCACTGCAAAGTCGTTCACGTCAGCACGATGACACGACGCAAAGGAAATCCTCTGGCGCAAGCAGCGCAAGGGCATGCGTAAGAGGAGCGCAACTGCTTACCGGCCACCACCAACATCGTCGTCACCGAAATCGGACATTTTCAGAGTTTGTTGTCAAACGGAGGATCCGAATCAGTTGTCACCAGATTGTCGAGTCGCGCGCAAAGTCGAGTTTCGCGGATATGGAGTTTCGTCGATGGGTTGTAGAAGGCGGCTCGTGAAAATTGGCACAGATCTCTTTTTTGGTGGAGTTTTTCTGGCGCGCGCGACTATTCAACCAACAGGCACTGGAAACCAGCGCTACCTAGCCAGGTACTACATGCTGCGGAACATGTTATACATGGTAAAACCGAAACTACGATACTTTGAGATAATGAGAAAAATGCCACGCACTCTGATGGAGTCTATATAATTTCGCAAATCTTTCTTGAAATTGCACCCTTGAAAAATTGAGAAATAGAACTAAAAAACACAAAGTAGATACCTACCTAACTGTCGTACTGGGACCGGCAGAAGAAACCCACCACAGTATCGTCACAACGATAAGCCCCACAAACCTCTCCAGACACCGCCTAAATCTTTTGCGTTCTGCCGTGACGCCTTCAAACCCACCATCGTAATCCCAACCGCTCTGCTTCCCCGTCCACGCCCTGGACGTCATGAGCGCATTATGAACAAGAGAAGCGCGGAACACGAGTCCTTCGAGGCATACCCTGCCAAGCGGCTGCGGAGTGACACTCTCGACAGCATATGTACGGCGTAACGCAACGCAAAGTTTTTCCCGTCCCGCCAGCCACTGACCTCTTCCGCTCCCAGATCCCATCATTGACGCCGGCGAAGACGATGCAACGACCGCCGAAACACCCAGCTCATTTGCGGGCGATGTCGACTCCCCCGTCACCGTTGCCACGACGCCGCGGGCCAAGTTCCCGTCCGACCTCAAGACGCTGCCGTGCACCTGGCCGGGCTGCCCCAAGACGTTTAACCGGCCGGCACGTCTGCGCGACCATCTCAACTCGCACACAAACTCGCGGCCTTTTCGGTGCACGTGGGCGGGCTGCGACAAGGACTACATCGAGGACAAGCACCTGAAGCAGCACGTCAAGGCGGTGCACACCAACGAGCGCAAGCACGTCTGCCAGCGCGAGGGCTGCGGCAAGAGCTTCGTCACCGGCACCCGCCTGAAGCGTCATCAAGCCGTACACGAGGGCGCCGATCGTTTCCGCTGCCCCGACTGCGGCCAGAGCTTCCGCAAGAAGGAGACGCTGCACAAGCACGTCCTCAAGGAGCATAAGGGCGAGTCGCCGCACCAGTGCGCCGAGCCCGGTTGCGACGCCAAGTTTGAGTCCAAGGGCGCACTGAAGCGCCACCAGCAAAAAGTCCACGGCGAGCTCAAGTTTTGGTGCAGCGAATGCGCCCTGCAAAAGGGACCGGACGGCAGGGAGAAGCACGTCGGCTTCACCACGCACCCGCTCCTGCTGGCGCACATGAAGCGCGAGCACCAGGACTGCATGTTTTGCGACTTTACGTCGTCGTCGCAGGCGGAAATGGTGTCGCACATTGACGTCCACCACTCGGGCAAGACGGTCGACGACCGCCGCACCTGGGCGTGCGACCACGCTGGCTGCGTCAAGAGCTTCACCAAAAAGTCCAACCTGCGCGCCCACCAGCGCACCGCCCACGAAGGGTTCCGTTTCGTCTGCGGCGAGGTCGACCTCACCGGCGCCGTCGGCCTCGACGCCTGGTCCAATGCCGACGGCTGCGGCGGCAAGTTCTGCACAAAGGTCCGACTCGAAGACCACGTCCGCTACATTCACCTGCGCCAGGAGCGGCCCTCCAAGCCGGCGCCGCGCTCCCCCACCACCGACGATGGCGAGGACAACGAAGAGCAAGCGGCGGTGCTCATCGACGAGCTCTCCGGCGTCCAGATGCAGGCCCGGAAGCCGATTGTCTGCGCGCATTGCCCGCAGGTGTTTGCGCGCTACTACGACCTCGAGACGCACCTCGCCACCGCGCACGCACCCGCACCGCCTCTCGAGGACTTATTCTCCGAAAGTGGCCCGCAGAGGCCGTTTTCTTCGGACCTGGGCGGTCTGTTTGGCGGTGTCGGCGGGGCGGGGCCGATTGACGATGCCCGCAATGCCGACGCCGATGACGACGACGGCGCCATCTTTGCGGCGGAAATGCACTACGAGCCCTCGCGGGACGAGTGGCTCGACGACGAGGCGGGCATCATGTTGCTGGCGCGCAACTCGCCGGCGTTGGAACCACACATTGATCCTGCGCTAGGCAGCGCATAGGGGAGTAAACAAAAGCAAAGGAATGGGAGAGTGATTTGCAAAGAATGAGCAATTTGGGGTATTTCAAAGTTTTTCTCGGCACTTTTCTTTTACGATGACATTGAAACAGACATGGCAGCATATAAACAGGCGTATTTTATGGGTTCACTTTGCTAAACGCGAGGAAAAGTTTTCTTGGTTGCTTGACCTTTTTTTTGATTGTTTTTGGGGGGGAAATGGTATGGGTGTGTATATTGTCTGTCAAGTAGGCGGAAACTGCACATGGTTTTCAATAGTACACGTCTTAATACTGTAGTCTCCTTTATTGTGTATGTAAAGCTATAGCCTGCTCCTTGATATTGATAGCAAAAAATTACAATCCCATCTTCGTCGAGATCTGGGCTGTCGGTTCTATACAGTATCCGTCTCACCGCAGTCTTATCTAGTTGGTGTGTGTAAAGCTATAGCCTGCTCCTTGAAATGATGATAGACATGGCGACCCAATCTATGCCGAAATCCCAGCCGTATAACAGCGACCAAAGCCAAGATATAAAATTGCTGCTGCGTTAAGAAAACAAGACCAATAATAAAATAGAAATGCTCGTCTGGGAGAGAAAAAATGAACAATCAAAATCCGTCCGTTTCTTTGGTTCTAAAAAAAAAAAAGGTCTAGTGCGCCGCAAAGAGCGCATTGGAGAGTCCCAGAATCGCCATGCCTAAAAACCCGAAAAACATGCACAAATTGCGGTTGTGGTTGAGGCTGAGGCCCTCGACAAACAGCTGTAGAGCGACGCTGACCATGATGCCCGACGTTGCGGCAAAGAGGCATCCGTAGGCGACGGCGTTGGGCTGCATGCTGGTCCTGCTGGCGAGCTTGAACCAGAGGGCGGCGATGCCGGCGCCAAAAGGCTGGGAGAGGCCGCCGAGCAGGGCGGACCAGGCCATGGCCTTCCAGCGCGAGCCGAGCGCCATGTAGAGCGGCAGGCACATGGTGAAGCCCTCGGTGATGTTGTGCACAAAGAGCGCCATGAAGACGTTGAAGCCGAGCTGCGGGTTGGCATGGTTGGTCGCATAGGTTATAAAGCCCTCGGGCAGCTTGTGCAGCGTAATGGCAATGGACGTTTGCAGGCCAATGGCGAGGAATGCATTGGTGGGGACGTGGTGATGGTGCTGCTGCGCCTCGACGTCGTCGGCGTGGCTTGCAGCGCACGAGGCGTGGTTGTGGCCGGCTTCGCTCACATGATCGTGGGCGTCTGCGTTGCTTTGCTGCCCCTCGTCATCTTCGTGTACGCTTTCTACTGGGGGGCGAAGCATGGCATCCCGAGACGTGGCGCGACTGGTGCGGTACATGGGACTCACGAGAGAGTCGGCGTAGTCGAGGTCCGGATCGAGGTTTGTCGAGATATGCGGCGGGTGGGTAGCGCTCACGGTGCTTCGCAACCGGGTCTGTGATTTGCTAACCTTGACGGCGCGGTATGAAATGTGCTTGAAGCACTCCTGGCCGCAGGGGTCAGAGTAGCCGTAGCAGGAGCCTTCCTCATCGCAGCTCGTTTTGGTGTCCCTGACAAAGGACATGACGCGCTTCTGGACCTCGAGCATCGATGGTCTCCGGGGGACGTCTACATGCTCTGTTCTGGCACGGCCGCGGCCACGAGACGGTGCGGCGGCGGGTTTCGAGGTCGGTAACAGCGGCGTCGTCTCGCTAGCGTGGTCGATGGCGAGGCCATTTTCTGTATGTGTGTGGTGATTCGCTTGCGCAAAGGGGGAGGGCAAGCGTGAGCGTCTGCTGTGTGGCAGGGCAGAAGACGCCGAGTTGTAGGGCTCGCCAAGGTGAGCGTGGCTGTGGCCATGAGGTTGATGGCCGTCCACGTCGTTGAGAGGTGATGAGTCATTATGAGTGTGGTCACAGTCGACAACATGTGAGGGCATATGTTGGTGCAGGAACCGCGATACAGCTTGGATGCCTATGAAGCCGCCAATGAAGCAGGCCATAATGAGCAGACCGGCTGGTCGATCGCCCCAGTGCACGCTTTTGAGGTACCCTTTGGCCTCTGGCAACATACTATATAACGACGAGAACAGCTAAATGACAAGACATGAGTCTGAGAGGCGCTTGGAAATGTGACAAGGCTGGTGGCGAAACTCACCATAACGCCAAAGCTCAGGCTGAGAGAGCAGGCCAGAAAGACGTTGCTTTCTTGGATGCGAAAGTTGGACTTGCCCGGCAGCTTCCGGATAAGTAGATCGACGCAGACGACGCTGGCTCCAAAGACGCAGGCTGCGCGAGAGGGATCAGTCTTCTAGCTGTGCCATAGCAGCTAGTGCAAGGGAGGAGCAAACATACCGATGCCGCTGATGAAGCTCAAGATCCATCCGCGGACGTCGTTGTCGAGCGAGGCCGTTGCGGTCATGTCGGGCAGCGGTAGGCGCTCCAAAAGCGCTGCCGACTCTGGCGATCTGTATGTCTGACAATAGCAGATATTCGGTGCAAGATGTGGGTGGCGGTTCGATGGTGGTGCGGTGTATTCAGCCGAGGGCAGCCGGTGCGAGAAAAGCAGGCAGCGATGAGAAACGGACTAGTAGAACGACGGTGACGAAAGGGAAAGAAAAAAATGGACAAAAATTGGTGATGTTTAGTTGAGACAGCAGGGTCGCTTCGAGAAGAGAAACACGGGAGAGAAAATAGTATTCAGGCACCAGTCGGTCTGATGAAAGCGGAATCAAGTCAGAATAAGTGTGTCACTTGGGTGTGCCAACCAGTAGGTATGGCTGCCGCGAGCTGCTGACCTTTGCCATGTTAATAAGTAATGCAAGTGGTCCTGTGGTGCTAGTCTGGGGACCTTGATGGTTGCAACTTGCAAGGGTAAGGCGGCTAGATTTTTGGGGCGATCTTTGATTTATTTGATTTATTTGACTTATTTGATTTACTTCATTTATTGGCGTCTTGGCGCCTTCTAGAGGCCGCATGTACTTTCTACTTTGGCTCTGATAAATATTTGGGCACTTTGTACGTAACCTCTGTTATTCTCGCGACGGTCAACGTTATCCGTATGTCGACTTCTATCTGCATCATAGACCGCCCCCACACGTGATTATTATCGCTATTATGATATTAATAGAGCGACTCTTTAAAAAAAAGTGAGACATTAATTAATATACGACTTCCGCGGCGCTCTCAAGAAAATTTTATTAGAGCATAGACTTCTCAGCAGTTCTGTCATTCTACTTTACCATGAACAGCCCATGTACAACACCGCGTCAGTCATCGCTACCGCCACAAAATATACACGAGCCCATCAAACGTCCTCTCCTCGTTGACAAACGCCGCATCCTTCTTCAGACCTAGACACGTCCACGCAATAGCTTGTGCCTCTTTCATTCTCTTCCCGGCCTCCCCGTCATCAAATCCGCAACTTCTCAGCGCAACGGAGAGCTTGTACAGCACTCTTGCGTAGTCCCCTTGCAGAACATGCTGATCCAGTGCTGCAATCTCAAGAGATTCTTCCGGATGCCTTCTATCGTCACGGTTAGCTTCACCGCTTTTTTTTTCTGTGTTCCCGCGTCGCCAATGTACTGACACGGATAATCCCACGTGGCCTGCATCCAAGGCTGCGCAGCCGATCTTGTACAAGCATGCACCAATAAAGTGATGATTGCGCATTTGGCTACCCTTGAGCCACACCCGTTGTGCGTGCAAAAATTCCGCTTGTGCTTCTTCGAAGTCGCTCTCTGCGCGGTTGACATTTCCCCGCACGAAATAGGTTGCTGTGGCAAACCACGGTCAGCTTCTTAATCTCACATCTTTGCAAAAGAAAAGTCGGGCGCAAAAACGCTACTTACTATGCTTGGCAAGGAGATCGATAGTGACCTGGCACCAGATGTGCGCCTCGGCGTGAGCACCCACGAAATACTTGAAACGTCCCATGTTTTGGCAAAAGACGGTCTGCGGGCGTAGAGCAGGCGAAGCATTGCTGCTGAAGGCTTGATGGGTTGGAACGCCTTCATCTGCCCGTCCAGTTACGCCTGATAAGTGCTAGCCAATCTCTCCAAGTTTGCCAGGTCGACCTCTGCCCAGCTTAGTTCACGTTTGTCGAGGGGTCGGGCTTCCGCCCGCATCTGGTGTGCCTGCTCCAGCCACGGGCGTGCCGCGGTGAATAGCCCGCGATGTGCGTATGCCAATTTGGACAAGGCACATAGAATAGAGTAAATCTTCTCCGAGAGTCTCAAATGCAGTCTTGGCCACTTCAATGATGTGCTCCACCTCCTGATAGGAGCCAGACCCGATGAGAAAGCTGCCAGCCGTCATCGTCTGCGACGGGGCGGGGTGGAAAAGGCTATCAATATAAAACACGGACATACCTTGTCAAGCTTTTGAGGAGCCTACAAAACCCCAAGTTTGGTAGCAATGACTCTTCCTTTGTCATCGCTCGAAAGTATTGGTCCCTGACACTCAAAACGTGCTGTAGATACTCTTTACACTCGACCCAGAGCTGACCTGTCTTGGCTCCGTCATGGGGAAATTTTTCGTACAGAAGATATGTGGCATTGTCAAAGAACCGTTGCTTTGTCTGCTTCGGAGGTCAAGAATCGGAATCCGTCTCGGACGAGGGGACGTAGTGAGAAAATGCTCTTCAACTTGTCTTGCTCGATCAAATTCAACCTCTCTAGCTCCTCCATCGTTTCCGAAAGGCTAGGCGAAGAGTTGGCGCTCAAAACACACGACAGCACGCTGCAAATCAAAGAAATGGAGGCCGGGGCAGCATGAAGCGCAGTCGCATTAGCACTGTGTTGGTTTCTGGGCCGTGGGTGCTTACATCAAAGGCCTACATAACACGGACTGCGAATGTTGGGAGAAGAAGTAGTTTTGGACGGTAGATTCTCACTCATCTATATTAATGCTGTGCTATAATGTGCGCAAAACCAAGAACAAAATAAAACACCCATCCGTCCAAGCCCATCGCCAAGACTGCTACTATACGGCATACATGAATCCGATGTGAATACAGAGAGACCTACACAAAAGAAGAAACGACAGGGTGTAGAAAGAAGGCCGTTAGAATAAAACTTTTGAAGCAAGACTCAGTAGCCAAGCGGCATCATTCCAGCTGCTCTCGCCCTCTTTGGGCGGCGGCAGCTTTACCGACGGCATATTTGTGACGCCTTCAACGTGTCTTGGTGTTTGCACGCCGCGCCCACCATCTTCTTCGTCATCCTCCTCTTCATCGTCCTCGTCATCCTCGCCGTCCTCCTCAAAGAGGGACCAGCCAATGAAGCTGGCGATCCAGGAGCCCCTGAGAGCCTTGCCCTCGCGCATGAGACGGCGTATGGCGGCCTCGTCGTCGAGCTCGTCGTCGCGCTCGAGCTCCTCAAGCTTCTGGTCGAGGTTGACAAAGTCGGGGCCCGAGATTGCGTCTGCGGAAAAGTACGAGTCGCTGCCGCCAGCGCCTCGATCCATCGGCGTGAGGGCCGCGCTGCGGGGGTCCATGCTCTGGGCGCGGCTGGCGAAGCGGCTTGTGCGGCGGCTGTAGGCGGGCGAGGAGAGGTCATCGCCGTCAGCCACAGCGGAGCTGCCGCGGCGGTGGTGGTGCCGCTCGCGGGCCAGCTCCTGCTCAAAAACGTCCTCGTCCGGGTGGCGCTGCATGGCGGCGAGGCTCGTGGAGCTCTGGCGCGAGACGAGCCAGGCTTGGCCCTTGTACTCGCGGGCCTCGGAGCTCATGAGGGCGCCGGTGCGCAGCATCCAGTCACTATCGTTGCGATGGCGGCTCGTCAGGGTCGGCTCATCCGCGGCCGCGCGTCGTCTGCGCGGCGTCGAGGCGCCGGAGCCGGGATGTCGGCTGTTGCTGCTGCTGCTGCTGCGGCCGGGCAGATGGGTGGAGGAGCGGCTTTTGGCCATGGACTCGCTACCGTGGCGTTGGTGCGAGCGAGAGCGCGGCGTGGCGGCGGCGTGGCCGAGGAAACGCGGCGTCGTGGGCGCCGACTTGCCCTCGAGGTAGGACGAGATGACGGGGCCGCTGGACAGGTCGGCGATGGAATCGGGGTCGTTGAGCGGAAGCTTGACCGTCAGCGGCGCGAGCGTCAGGTGGTTGACGTTGGTGGAGGAGCGGTTCTTGCGGCGGGCACGATCCGCGTGCTGGTTGTAGGCCAGATCCATCTCGGCGAAGTGATGCTGTTGACGAGATGAAGGTAATGTTTTGTCAATGCCTTGCAAGTTGCTGGCATTTAAAGCTCTGCTAGGCGAGACAGTGTCGTGCCAAGCGGACCAGTAGTGACAAACAGGGAACGGTGGGGGTGGAGATTGCCGATCTCGCAGAAGTGTATGTAATCGACAGTCGAAGAGATCAAGTGTAACGAGACTCGATCAAGTTCAAAGGGCAGGAGTAGAAACGATCGTACGCAATGGAACGGCCTTAAATAGGGTGATGCAAAGAGAGAATCAAAGACTCGTCGCCTCGGGTCGGCCGATGTGGGCGGCGAGCAGCGGCTATAACCATCCCTGACTTGGAGGGGGAGGCTACGGCGTTGGGTGCAGTATTTAGTGCCAGGCGATGCGGCTAGTCGGCCAGCCACCAAACTTGACATGCACTTGTAACTTGCAAAGCTGTTCGCTGATAAGCTGTTCGAGGACCTAAATGGGCCTCCGGAATTGATCCTGTTTGATGCGGGAGTCATCCCGACTTTTGCCATGGGCATCGGGTGTTTTTTGCGGTTCCGCTTGTAAAAACGACGCCGCTGATAGGTCTGCCCCGGACGTTGATCAAGCGCTAGGACCCAGCAATCACCCCGTATTAAACGGGCAAAAATGAGCCCTGGAAGATCCATCAGCTCACCAACTCACCTTCGAGTACGAGTCTGCAGCGGCTTTACTAATTATGCCTCGATAGGAAGCCAAGAAGCGCTCCGGCATGCAGCTCGAGCAGCAGACTAGATGTGATGTGCAGCGCTAGATATGCGGGCTATGCTATTTTCCCCTTCTTTTCCGCCGTATCTCTCCTGTTTCCTGGAATAGCTGACGCCACTTTCCTCGCCTTTGCCACTGAGGGTATAGCGGTTGGACTGCTATTGACTGTGGCTGATGGCGAAGTGCTTCATAAGTCGGGTTCTATCGGATTGTCCATGAAGCGACACCACAGGATCAGAGCGAGCAAGCATTGATCACCCATCCCATTCCGACAGATGCAGACAGCCAGTCACATATGAAGACTGAAATTTAAAGCCCATTTGCACCACCTGTTAGCTGTATCAAACGGCTTCTTCTTATACGAGTCAAATGAACAGCGACTCCACGTGACCTACCCACCTAAAGTCCGCTGTAACGAAAAAATTTTTACTGCCTAAATTCACCATATTTGCGGCTCTCTAGCGCCTAAGACCACCAAATATGAGCATTTACAGCGCCACAACTCATCCCGGGTGATGAGCTTCTGGTGGTGATACTTCCTGCCTTGATGTGGCTCAACCGCACCCACACATCACGCATTCTGGTTCTTCTCGAGCCGATTCATTCCGACTTGACAGGAGATTTGGATGTAATCATACAATTTTATTCGTATTTCAAACTCTTTCCACCGGACTGGCGAAGTCACGCTAGACTCGGCTCGTGGCGGCCGCCCTACCGTGTTCCACCGCCAATATCAAACGGAAAAGATGCGGAACTTAAGAAACCTTCGATTTGGCCGGCTAGCTCAGGCTGATGTAACCGCTGTATGCTGGGATCCTGACACGGATGAGGTTGTTTGCGCTGTCGGTCCAACACCCCAGAATCCTACCATTCAGCTGTTCCGTGTCTCTGAAGGTCGCAATCTGTGAGTCAATACAACACAACACAACCATGTATTTTTGAACCAGTCGATGCTGATAAATGCCAGATCACAGCGCCTCATTACCAAGTGGGATGCTCCGAGTCCAAACCCCGATCTAGCAGTAGACAGGATCCTCAACATCCAGTATCTGGGTGGTACTGCAACGATATGTCTTGTTTTAGAGGGCGGCGACATCATTACCGTCAAGGAAGACCAGCTCGGCCAGGGAGATGCTCACATCGAAATAGTTGGCTCGATAGACGACGGAATCTCTGCAGCCCGGTGGTCTCCCGATGAGGAGTTGCTCCTCCTTGTCACAAAGGCCAACAATGCCATCTTCATGGGCAGTTCCCTAGACCCTGTAGCCGAGGTCGCCATGACAGCGGACGACCTTCAGGCATCTAAACACGTCTCTGTCGGCTGGGGCAAGAAAGAAACTCAGTTTCAAGGTCGAGGCGCCAAGGCTCTCCGTGATCCTACCATTCCTGAAAAAGTCGACGAAGGTGTTCCCAGCCAACACGAGAACGGCGCTACAACAATCAGCTGGCGTGGCGATGGCTCTTTTGTCGCCATAAACTCGGTCCAACAAGGGTCTCGTCGAGTCATACGTGTGTACTCTCGAGAAGGTGAGCTTGATAGCGCTAGCGAGCCAGTCGACCACTTTGAGAGCAGTCTCAGCTGGAGACCATCTGGAAATCTGATGGCCGGCATTCAGCGACTGCATGACAGGATTGACGTCGCCTTCTTTGAACGAAACGGTCTTCGCCATGGGCAATTCACTTTGCGCTCTTCTCTCGAAGACGTGACGGCATGCTCCAACATTCAGCTAGAATGGAACACCGATTCAACTACCTTGGCGGTAATTCTTAGCGAAACAGTCCAACTGTGGACCATGGGTAATTATCACTGGTATCTGAAGCAGGAAATTCCAAGAGACGCCGGCGGTGTCCCCACACTATCATGGCATCCCGAAAGGGCGCTGCGACTGGCGTCTCCGACTGGCAACGGCCTTGTCGTGGCTGAGCAGGTCTTGCATTGTGCTCGAGGCTCTTGCCAGCAGCCCTGTGATGTCGGTGCCGTCGCCGTGGTAGATGGATCAAATGTCAAATTCACTCCATTCAGAACTGCCAACGTGCCTCCACCCATGTCCTTTAGCGATATTGAGACCGAGTCATCGGCAATCGACATTGCATTTGGCCACCGCAATAGCTCGTTCGCCATTCTTCACCATCGAGGTGTTGATCTCTACGATCTGTCCATTACCAACACCAGGGCAGGTCGGCCGAAGCTGACCAAAAAGCTCCTACTCTCTCTGCAACCTACTGAGTACTTTTTGCCACTTCGGATCGTCGCGACGTCAGTCGGATATAGTCTGTTTGCTTACCAGGGTGACAAGTTCGTTAGTGCCGCCATTGCTGCCCACGATGAAAGCATAGAGGCTTTCAAGGATGCCTCTACTCCTCTATTGAGCACAGCTACGTGCGACGACGGTTCCTTTATCGAAGGATATGGCCAGGATGCTTCTGGAAAGCTGTATCAAATTTCTGCTGCATCAGCAAAGCCGCTCAGAATCCAATTTCCTTCCTTGCTGCCTTCGTTTGAGATTTACAAGTCGAGCGACGATGCCGTCATTGCATTTGGTCTATCACGAACCGGTCACATTTACGCAAACACAAAGCAGTTGGCCAAGAACTGCACATCCTTTATTCTCACACCTCATCACCTCATTTTTACGACCAGCAATCATTTCGTCAAATACGTTCATCTCATGGATGATGTAGAAGACTTGGAAGTCCCTGGTGACGATCCAGAAAAGGACGAACGATGTAGAAGCGTCGAGCGGGGGTCACGTCTCGTCACAGCGATGCCAACAAACATGAGCATTGTCTTGCAAATGCCGCGAGGCAACTTGGAGACGATTTATCCCCGTGCAATGGTTCTCGCCGGTATCCGTCGTCTCATTGACGCCAAGGACTATGGCGCAGCCTTTTCCTACTGCAGAACCCAGCGCGTGGATATGAATGTGCTCTGCGACTACAAGTTTGAGCAGTTTTTGGCTTCCGTTCCCATTTTCCTGGACCAGCTAAACAACATATCCTACATTGATCTCTTCCTTTCTTCTCTCAAGGAGGAGGACGTCACGCAAACCATGTATCAAGATACAAAGAGGTACAAATCAGCCGCCGGCGTACCTTTTTCAGAAGGGGAGGCCAGTCTGGCGACGAAGCTGTCGGGTGGCAAGGTCAACACGGTCTGCGACGCTCTTCTCAAGGGCCTGCAACCGCGCAAGAACACCAACCTGCAAAACATCATCACCGCGCACGTGTGCAAGAACCCCCCCGCGCTCGACGACGGTCTCACCCTCGTGTACGAGCTCATGCAGGAGGACCCCAAGGTCGCTGAGAAGGCCATTGAGCACATTTGCTTCCTCGTCGACGTCAACCGGCTCTATGAGAACGCGCTCGGTCTGTACAACCTCGAGCTGGCACTCCTCGTCGCTCAACAGTCGCAGCGCGACCCCCGCGAGTACCTCCCCTTTATGCAGACGCTCCACGCGCTGCCCAAAGTGCGGCGCAGGTTCGAGATTGACGACCACCTGGACCGCAGGTCCAAGGCACTCGCGCATCTACAAACGCTCGACTCGTTTGACGAGTTTTGCGGCTACACGACCAAGCACAAGCTCTACCAGGACGCGCTGCGCCTCTACCGCTACGACCAGCCTCGGCTGCGCGCCATCACTAACCTCTACGCCGCGCACCTTGAGGCAACGTCGTCGTTCCGCGAGGCCGGCCTGGCCTACGAGTCCCTGCAAGACTTTGTCAAGGCAACGAGCTGCTACCGGTCCGCCGGCGCCGCCTGCTGGCAAGAGTGCCTGTTTGCCGCGCAGCAGCAGCAGTCGCCGCCGCTCTCGCCCGAGGCCATGAGCCAGCTTGCCGCCGCCCTCGCCGACGCGCTCTGGGAGGCCAAGGACTACGCCGCCGCGGCCACGATCCACGCCGACTACCTAGACTCTCTGGAGACGGCAATCAAGTGCCTCTGCAAGGGCTACTTCTTCGCCGAGGCCATGCGCCTTGTCGCTAGGCACCGCCGCCCCGAGCTCCTCGAGACCGCCGTCGACGCAGGCCTCGCCGAGGCCCTCGGCAGCACGACCGAGTTCCTCGCCGACTGCAAGGCCCAGATCGCCGCACAGGTGCCCCGCATTGCCGAGCTGCGCCGCAAGGCCGCCGAAGACCCGCTGGCCTTTTATGAGGGCGAGCGCGCCGGCGGCGCCGATGTCCCTGATGACGTCTCCGTCGCGGCGAGCTCCCGCCTCAGCACCGGCGGCGCGAGCCTCTTCACCCGCTACACGGGCAAATCCGGCAGCGTGGGCACGGCCGGCACGGGCGTCTCCCGCGCGACGAGCAAGAACCGGCGGCGCGAGGAGAAGAAGCGCGCGCGTGGCCGCAAGGGCACCGTCTACGAGGAGGAGTACCTCGTCAGCAGCACGCGACGACTTGTCGAGCGCGTCGGCGCCGCGCAGGCCGAGGTTGAGCGTCTCGTGTTTGCGCTCGTCCGCCGCGGCATGGCCGAGCGCGCCCGCAACGCAGAGGCGCTGCTCAGGGACGTCCTCGACGCGGCCGAGGTGGCCGTCGCGCAAGTCTTTCCGGGCGCGGCCCAGCAGCAGCAGCAGGCTGATGACGAGGATGCGGCCGCCACCACCGAGCAATATCGAGCTCGGGGCGGCGACGCGGTCCTCGCCGAGTGGGCAGAGGCGAGGTCGAAAATGGCGGAGCCGCCGGCGCTGGCCAAGATGGCCAAGCTTACATTGTTGGGGTAAAGGGGGTAATGTGGAATGGGACGCAGGGATGGCGATGGAACCGCGGGAAGAAAATTTATGTCCTTGGTTATCATGTAGAAATGAAGATTTATGCCCCCATGATTATGCAAACACGGACTCGGCCTGGGACGTGACATGTTTCTTTACCATGAAACTAAACCCTATGTATTGTTTGGTATTCTCCTCCCTTCCCACACCCTTTTTTTCGAAACTATGCAAGCTAATCGACAAGGACGTATGAACCGACAAAGACGGGAAAAACAGAAAACAGTGCAAATCTCAAAAATCTGTGGATACAATTGAGAAAATGCTTACAAACAAGGTATTAAAGGAGAGTAATGAGAAACCAACAGAGAATCGTCCGTGTAGCAACGGTACCTCTTTTGCTCCCGCGTCGTGTCCAAGCCATCCTCCCTCTAAACAACCAGATTCCAAGCCCTGAATAAACTCCATGTCAAACACAACCCGCTAACCGATGTAAATGGATCTCTCCCACACTGAAAAGAGAAGGTTTCCAGGCGACGAAAAGACGCCGACATTTGTATGAATAACTGTCGCGCATTACTCCTTATTCGTAGGCGTGCCCGCCGAGCCTCCCGAGTGACGAGTCGAGCCTCCTGAGTGGCGCGCCGAGCCTTCCGCCTCTGCGCCTTCGGCCGGCGCCACGCCAGTCTCGGCATCTTCAAAAGCCTCAACCCCTTCAAGCTCCTCCCCCTCCTCCTCCTCCTCCTCTTCTTCATCTTCATCTTCGTCTTCGTACTCGCCTTCATCATCTGCAACGATGCCATTCATGCGCTCCCAGACCTCGCGACGAATCTTTTCGTCCTTGGCCAGCCTCGCCCTCTCAACCTCCTCAAAGCCGCCCGACTTTTTAAGCTTGCCTTCGCTCACAAACGCGGCAATTTCGCGCTGGAGCTCGTTGCCGCTGCGGTTCTGAAGATCCTTTTGACGGAGCTTCGCCGCACGCTCAATCGCATCCAGTCGGTTTTCGTGGTTGGGCTGCAGGGCGCGCACTTCACCCAGTACACCTTCCTTGGCGGCATTCTGATTGAGGCTGTTGCCAAGGTTGCTCAGACCCTTGGCGAGAATGCGCGACGTCCCTGGGTTGGCTCCGGCGCCGCTGTCCTTCATCTGCTCCTTCATAGCTTGCTCGACAAGGGCAAATGTTTCTGTAGCCTTCTCCAGGTCATCACGTAGATCAACCATCAAATCCTCCATAAGGCGCAGCTCATCGCGGCCCTGGCACACATCTTCCAGTTCCTTTTCCCATATCTTGGTCCAAACAGGCTTCTCCTCAGTCATGTAGTCTTCCATGGTCTTGAGAGCCTTGGTGAGCTCGGCAATATCATTGCTGACAGACTCGAGCTGGCGCGGTAGCGGCTTGACACCTCTGTGGACCACGTCTTTGCGCATGTCCTCGATAAGGTCCTGGAGATCATCCACCTTGCCAACCAACCGGTCAGAATCGGCATTGAGCTTCTTGCGGCCATTCGTGACATATGAGTATCCGGGATCCCCATCCAAATCAGGCTGAGAAGCGGTCGCAGCTACTGATTTGACGCTTGCAGCCTTCTGGCGCACAGCAGAAATAGAGGCTTCCATTGTGGACTGAAAATTCGAATACGTTTGTCGCAATACCGCAATGTCGCGGCGGAAAGTCTGGATCTGCCTAACGTGGCTTGCGCCAAGCCTAGGTCCGGTGCTGACAACGCCCTTGGATCCGTCGGCAGATTGCACAGCACCGGGCGGCGCCAGAGCCAAGCGAGCGACCTCGTCGGCAGTTTCCTGTTGCCTATCCGAAACTTGTTGTAGTGTCGCCGCCTGATTTTGAATATTGTGCTGAACGTCCTGCACAATTTTAGTCAGTCCTGAGATGCCATCGTCGATGTGACGCTTGACCTCGTCTAGAGCTTCTATGTTTAGAACGAGGACAGTCCGGTCCTTCACATCGGAAAGGTCCTCCAATTCATGTCGAATACCTGAAACAGGGTCCTGGATGTAGATTTCGGGCAGATCAGTACCGTTATGCTGTGTATTCCAAGAGAACTTTTCGATGAATGCGAGCTGCAGTCGTCCAATAGAGAGCTCACTTCTGCCCTCTGGCAGTAAAATCTTTTTGACCTTGGACTTGTACTGAAGAAACAGAGTCAAGTCTTTGGTTGGGGTGGGTGGTGGCGAGACTTGAAAATACGAATCGGCCTTTGGTTCTGGGACAGCGGGCAAGTGTTCGGGCCGCTCAGTTACTTTTCGTTCTGGTTCGGCTGTTCTAGGCTCATCCAAAAAGTGCGGAGGCCCGGGGGGCGGGCTGGATAAGGTAGCGCTTGGGGCGTACTTATCCTCGGGAGTTTGAGCCATGGGGCTATCGACTCCATTTCTGGTTTCCGTAGAACGTTCCTCACTTATCATTGGAGCTGGCGAGGAGGCAGACTTGGACTGGTTTGACTGATGACGACTGTGCCTTACGGACTCGCGTTTCTGGACCGCATGCAACGATTCTCGTGCTTCCTTGCGGCCGCGGTTGGGTATAGGGGAGTTTTGATGCGGCAGTATAGGAACTGCATTGGCAGCACCAAGGTGTTTCGATATTTGGTATTGTGAGTAACGTCGTGAAGCTCGTCTTTCCAAATCACCTCCCTTTTGCAACGCCGCGAGTGCGCTTGACTGGGGCTCCGGGGGCGGCGGTGGAGGAGGCGGAAAAGCTTCGATATTTACTTCTGAAGAAGGTCCAGAAGGCATTTGGCCCTCATCGCTGGGATAAGGCGGTGGTATAGAAGGCGCATTCTGAATGGGTGAACGATTCGCTTGAAAAGGATTACGAGGTGGCTCTCGTGGCGCATTGGATCGACGGCTGGGAGAAGAACTAGGGCCTGGCGGCGTGGGTTCCTCTGAACGAGGCTGTTCTTGCTTGTATCCGGACTCGAGACCCTCATCGAGCATGTTGGTAAGGCCTCCACTACTTCCACTTGTGATGGTGCTCATACTCGTCGTACGCTCGGGGAGGCCGCCACTGCCTTCCCTGTCTCGGGCCTGTCGTTGACGCAGACGCTGCTGCTTCCGCTTCAGACCATGGAGCAGGTTGATGATGATATCTCTAATGCGTGGCAAGTATCGTTCGAGGCTTTCAGCACTGGCTTCTTGGCTCAGGGTCGATTCAAGAATGCTTCGAAGCAGATCAGGAACGTTGCCGAGGTCGGATGTGTCGACATTTATGGCGGTAAAGGCACGACAGGCCATATTGAATTCGTAGCCTAGACGAACATAGACATCGGAGACTTGAGTGTCGGTCGCATGGCCGCGAGACCATTGTGTGAGAGTTTCGAGGAGCTGCTTGGTAGCGACGAGTAAATGGGTGACACTCTTTTCGATTTGCGACAGTGGGACACTGGAGCTTGAAGTTGCAGTCTATGGCAATCAGGTCAGTTTCAGAATGCATGATAGCTTTTGCTGCCGCGCAGTGCTCGTTTCCGGCCGGGAGATGTGCAAAAACGAACCTCTCGAGCCGATCGGCGGGTGCTGGCGCTCTGCGACGACTTGATGGAAGCTGTCGAGGCTCTGGATGACACTCCATTTGGCGACATGGGTCGATTCTGACCGTTGGATGATTGCGAAGTAATGTCATCGGCGCGCCGTTGTGAATAGCCTCGTTGGGCCTGCGATACTGATTGCATGCTGTCGACGATGTGTGACGCCGGGGCCGATTACGCTTTGACGGATTTCAAGCTCGTTCGTTGGGCAGCAAACCTGCTGGGGTATCAACGATGTGCTGTAGAGGGGGTGGCGGGTATGGGTCGGTCTATAATGTGTCGCGAGTGCTGGTTAGATGTGCGCAAGAAGTGCCATGGCCGACAATGTTTGAGCGGAATCGAACGGTAAGGCTCTGAATACGAGCGGTACCAATAATGCCAGTGGCTGTGGTCCGTATGGATGTTGGGGGCTTGATATGGACTCAGTGTGGTGCCAGGAGAAGACGGCCAAGCGGCCTTTCCTGAGGCTGGTTCTCTCGTTTTGGGTGGGCCGGCTGGCCAGGGCCCAGGTTGTGCCCCAAGTGTCCCTGTTTGGTTGCCGCACGTGCCAACAGTTTTGCTTCTGCCGCCACCCTGCATCTGGGGAAGGGCGAAAACGAGTTGATCAGATTCTTCTTTTTGTCTAGATAAAGTCTTGTTGTTTTCTTCTTTTTATCTGTGGCATTCTTCCCATATGCGTCATCTCGATCGGCCGGGACAGGCCGTGCGACTCTGGCGATAATGCTAGGCGTAAGCTAAGAACCCATCTGTTTGATAAGCATTGCAGCTGCGACATGACTCAAAAGTGCACCATAAAACGCTTAAATTCTCCTGATTACCATGCACACACATGTACGAAGAAAAAGCACAGCATCGACAAAGCAAAACAGAAATTCCGAATCACTCACTCCTTCGTCGCTTTCCCACTGGCTGCCATCTCGGTGCTGATGCGTCCTCCTGCCTGGCCCCACAGGGCTGTAACCTCCCAACTACATCAAACAGCGACGTCACCAACGAGCAGATTATCAACTTTCGTCTGTTCAAGACGACGACATTCAAGGTGACTGGCAAGAACAAGTATCAGCTCCATCAAGATGCCGACTGAAGGAGTGTGGATTTCGCCATCCGGGGTCAAAAAAGTCATCCCGCTGGAGAACAACCCCGAAGTCTTCACATCGCTTCTCCACGATCTAGGCCTGTCTCATGAGCTAGGCTTTTATGACGTGTACAGTATCGACGATGCCGAATTACTCGCCATGATCCCGCGTCCGGCGCATGCTCTCATATTTATTACGCCGGCCAAGATGTACTATGCTTCCCGCAAAGAAGACGGCATTGCTTGCGATATGGCTGTGGAGGAGCTGACTTACAACAAGACCGCCGACGACGACCACATTATGTGGTTTCGCCAAACAATTGGGAATGCCTGCGGACTCTATGCGCTGATTCACTCTGTTGCAAATGGGCAAGGAAATAGATACGTGCAACAAGGTTCGCTCCTAGATCGGCTTTTTACAGAGGCCAAGCCCCTGCGGCCTGAGCCGCGCGCCAGAGTGCTCTACGACAGCCAAGAGTTGGAAAAGGCTCACATGAAGGCAGCAAGAAAGGGCGATTCTGCACCACCTCTGGCAGAGAGTCATCCGCCCTACCATTTCATTGCCTATGTCAAAGGTCAAGATGGCCATCTATGGGAGCTCGAGGGTATGACTAACGGGCCAGTGGACAGGGGCCTGCTCGGGCCAGAGGACGATGTTTTGAGCCCCAAAGCTCTGGAGCTCGGTATTCGCAAGTTTTTGAACCATTCCGAGGGTGATCCGAATTTCAGCATTGTGGCGCTGTCCAACAAGGACTAAGGCCGTACACAGCTCTCATGGCCAAGGGGGCTATATCTACCAATCTGTGTTGCATATATGCAGCCTGTGTTACCTCTGCAATAGCCATTCCCGCAGATCACAAGTCACACTATTGCATCTAAACTGATTTCCCGCCGAATGATCAATGAACGCGTCAATTCGTATGACATCCCACCTCACATTGAGCCGTGTTTCTCTTCTCTCTCGTTCTGCACCATGCCCGTCCTTGCATGTACAATATGCCCCGTTATGTGCTATCTTTTTATGAACTCGTTGAGACTTTAATACTTTCCAACATTTGGTGTGTTGATTTGTCATCGAAACAATGTGCGGGCTACTACTACACACTTGTAACTCGGCGTCAACACTTGACAGTCTGAAATAACAAGTTCATCGCCCAATGCAAGCTGTCAGGCTCACGAATCGAAGACTACGTCGAACATTTATAGTCGATGGATTGTGCTTCAAGCCGCGAACTCTACGACTTTTCACTATGAAAAGAAAATAAGAGAAAAAACCAAGGCCCTCGCTACCTACGCGGGAGGGGGGTGTTTTCTGACAGGCCCTCTGACATATGTTACTATCTGGCATATTTTTTTAGGCATGTTACAAGGAAATCGCACTTTTTAGCATATTAAAAAAAAATTCTAACATCCTATCCGAGAAGCCTAAATCTATGGCAACATGGCATGTCAGAAAACACCCCCTTCCCGCGTAGGTACTTTCAGCGTGAATATAAAGAAGCATCGGGGCCGCTATTTAGGCATGCATAGAGGGTGCTCACAATAGATGCTCGGCGAACTCAGTTTGGTCTTCCTGAATCCTCAGACCACCGGGTGTGTTGGATATTAGAGCCAAAGTACCTGCCAAAGAGGCTCTCCTAGATTTATTAAAAACAAATTACTTGATTATCATTATCCTTCAATCCGTACACGAGAACCATAAATTTACTGGTATGTTAATAATCAGTCTTTTTTTAGCTTGAGCTGGACAGTACTTGGCGACATGGCACAAAGAGCCATCGCCCGCCTGACTTACCTAGTTCCCACTAACTTGGCAGACGTCAGCTGAAAGCGTACACCATTAAGCAACAGCTTATCAAAATCGACAACACTCAGCCTGGGCTGCATCTACGCAATGCAGACGACATGGACGACCCACAAGAGCCCCTGATCCCCGAAGAAAGCCGCCAAGATGATGCTGCAGGAGGCGGCAGCGTGCTGAGACGCAAAGCAGCAGACCAGCCCGAGCTAGGCACCTTTGTCCTGCTCCTGACGCTCGCGGCTGGTATCAGCGGCTTACTTTTTGGATGTATGTTGCTGTGAGCCCCTCCGAAGATGCGCAAGGAAGATGCTAATCTGTTTTTTTCGCTCGCCAGACGACACTGGCGTCATTTCCGCGACCCTCGTCTCCATCGGCACGGCGCTGTCCGGCCGACCGCTCTCGTCGCTCGACAAGTCCATCATCACATCCGCGACCGCCCTTTTCGCGCTGATTGCGTCGCCCATCTCTTCGATTCTCGCCGACCGGCTCGGGCGAAGACGCGTGATCCTCTACGCGGACGTGCTGTTTGTCGCCGGCGCGTTGCTGCAGGCGGCAAGCTCGACGGTATCGCTCATGGCCGTTGGGCGGTGCATGGTCGGCGCGGGCGTCGGCGCCGCGAGCTTTGTCGTGCCGCTGTACATTGCCGAGGTCGCTCCGGCGCAGCACCGCGGACGGCTTGTCACGACGAATGTCATGCTCATCACCGCCGGTCAGGTGGTGGCGTACGTTGTCGGCTGGCTCTTTGCGACGTATGCCGAGGCCGGGACAGGGTGGCGATGGATGGTCGGCCTGGGTGCCGTGCCGGCGGTGGTGCAGGCGGCGCTGATTGGGTTCATGCCGGAGACGCCGCGCTGGCTCGTCAAGGCGGGCGAGTCGGGAGCAGCCCGGAGTGTGGTTCTGCAGACGCAAGGCGCCGCCGAGGCTGGGGCTGGAGAGCACGTGGATGCGATTATTAAAAACATTGAAGTTGAAATACGGGCGGAGCAAGAAGCACGCAGACTTGGAGGAATGCGACAGTCAAAGGTGCCGAGCTGGCTGAGCGGCTGGGAAGAGCTGCTTACGGTCGGCCAGAATAGACGTGCGTTGGCCATTGCTTGTCTGCTACAAGGTCTACAGCAGCTTAGTGGATTTGTAAGTGCTTTACAGGGCTAGAAGAAGCCGTCGTTGCGAAACTAACCGTCGCAGAACTCGCTCATGTATTTTTCTGCGACGATATTCACACTGGTCGGATTCCGCAGCCCCACGCTTGCCTCTCTCAGCGTAGCCGTGACCAACTTTATATTCACCGGCATCGCGCTGGTACTCATAGACCGCATCGGCCGACGCCGTATACTCTTGTACTCGCTCCCAATCATGGTCTGCGGCCTCTTGCTCGCATCTCTAGGGTTCTCGTTCCTGACCCTCGATGCGAGCCCTAACGCATCGCACAACGACGCCGCGCCGCCACCGCCGGGAAGCAGCAGCGACGCGGCCGGTCTAATCCTACTTAGCATCATGCTCTACGTGTCGTCCTACGCGATCGGTCTCGGCAACGTGCCGTGGATGCAGAGCGAGCTGTTTCCTACAGCGGTCCGCTCGCTAGGCAGCGGCGCGGCCACGGCCACCAACTGGTCGGCCAACTTTGTCGTCGGGCTGACGTTTCTGCCGCTCATGGAGCTGCTGACGCCGCCGTGGACGTTTGCGCTGTACGCGAGTGTCTGCGCCGTCGGCGAGGCGCTAGTTTGGCTCGTCTATCCCGAGACGGCAGGGCTGAGCCTGGAAGAGTCGACGTCGCTGCTGGAGCATGGATGGGGCGTGAGGCGATAGATGGATGAATTTGATTGCGCATAGCGTATTGTACACGGAATAGACTTGAAAATCACTTGAAAAAATATTTCACATCATTGTCTTGCGAGCAAATGATATTTCCAAGTCAATAAAGCAAAAATGGCCCGAGTTTAGTCATGGCAGTGGCTGATTCGAACCATCAGACTCGCCATGTAGGCCTTTGTGCTTACCAGCTACGCTACGGAAGCCAAAAATGATGGCAGAGGGAATCGGAGAAGCATTGGCATCGCAAGGTGATGGTAGAGTATTGTAAAAGAAAAAATAAAAAAGAGACAAAAAAAACTGGTAGCTTCTCTTTGAGATTGCGTGTCATCCTTAGTGCAGGGGCCATGCTAATCTTCTCTGTATCGTTTCAAAAGACCAAATGAGCCGAAGCTCGAAGGACTGGTGATCTATTTTACAATATATACCCTGTTTTTGTGTGGTAAAAGTGGGTCTATACCACAGCACCAAACAAAGCCAAGTTCTGATTAGTCATTCCTTACAGAGCAAATCAATGACTCGTTCGTTTCGCGGTTATATAATATGGTGTGCATGAAATAGCTGTCCTGCAACATCGCCAAAGAGCACATACCCGGATCGCCGCGGCGGGTGTCTTTGCCCCCCGTCTGCTTACTATGGAATACAGATATGACAGCTTGCAACCGAAGAAGAGAACAATGTGAATGCAAGAATCTTCTAGCCGGGACCGAAACCTTTTTTCCGGAACCGAAGTTCGGACAGGCCGGGTGAAAGTGATTGTGCTGCATGACGTCGGCGCGCAGGGATCTCTCGCCGTATATACATGTCTCCTTCATAAAAGACCCCTTCGGTCGCGTTTAAAGGTTCAAGTATGCATAAAGAAAATTCCTAAGCAAAGTATCGCTTACCAATGGCACACCTGGGGCCAGCATCGCGGCTTCGCGGTTTTGCTCGCTGCCGAAACGCTCGCTTCCCGAAGAGGAGTGGAACCAGACGAATTAGTGTTAGTAATTGGTGGGTATAATTTGGGCGATTGCTTGTTGTTACAGGCTCCGGATCTCGCGACTTTCAATAGACCCCGGTAACCCCTTGTAAGCCGTTACGGACAAAATATGGATTCATGGCGGAATAAAAAATTTCTCCAGAGTACCGTGCAGAAGTCCACGGACCCGACAAGCACGAAGCCCGTGGAGCTGATTTAATGATGCCAGGGAGACATATAGGCTGGGGCTCTCTCTTGCTCATGTACGCAGCCACTCTAATCAGTCTACGCAGAGCAAGACCAGCTCTGCTGCTATATCTGTACCTTGTCGTCTCTTTTGTCGCACGCTTTTTCGATTTTCGAAAGAAGCATTTTCTTTATTTCAATCCCACGTCGGAGACCCCACTGTTTGCCAGTCCCGGCCCAAGCCCCACCAGAGCTCTTGCAAAAAAAAAAAATAGCGGCCGGCATCGCCTCGGAGACGAACGACACGAACCAATAACAGCTTCTTAATTCAGTGTGGCAACCACTTTTTTTTTTTTACTACTGGTATTCAAATCTTGTTGTGAAAGAGGCTAGCTTCAAATGCATTGAGCTAAAATACATTACTATCGAAAGGCCGGGAAAAGAAAAGAGAGAGCGCCCCCAAACAAGATCCATTGTCCGTTTGAGCCACCTCCCACTTGAACGTTCTTTCCTAAATAAATTCTGCATCATCAAATCGAGGGGCTTAGGTGTGCTTTTTTTTTCCTCTACCAATATCCTTTGGCGCTCTTGCTGGCCTCGCACATCAACCTGCTGCGTGTACGGAGCTGCACAACAACGTCATAGCACGGCAGAGACTCCCCCGGGTGCCTGTTCCGCCACGCCCAAAAACACCCAACCCCGACGCCAGTCATCTCAACCGCCCCATCGCCCGGCTTAACAATGCCCATGGATGACATTGACCGCGAGCTGGTCGAGGCAGAGCGCGATGCCTCGCCCGCTAATTACCGACGCCGCACCAGCGACGAAATCGAGCGCGTCCTCTCCGCCTCGTCCGTCTCGACAGCCTCGTCTACCGCCGCCGCCGGTGCCGGTAGATCCGCCGTCCGGCGCCAGATGAGCCGCGTCTCGACCATCAACGACCTGGAGCGCCATCCCACCGCCCTCAGCCGCATTCAGACGGCTCGCGGCCAGCACGCCACCACCGTCGGCCTCGAACCGGGCAGCCGCACCGCTAGTCGCGCCTCGAGGAGGCCTCTGCCCGCCTTTGGCGCCGGCAAGCCCTACCCGCCGCCGCTGCCCGACCAGGAGGAGTACGTTGTCGAGTTTGACGGCCCCAACGACCCGCTGCATGCGCAAAACTGGCCCTTGCGCAAGAAGCTCTTGACCTCGGCCATGCTTGGGTACACTACAATGACCTCGGCCTTCACGTCGTCAATCTTTTCCGCCGGCACTCAGGTCGTCGCCAAGCAGTATGGCGTCGGCTCCGAAGTTGGCCTCCTCGGCACCACATTCTACGTCCTGGGCTTCGCCTTTGGCCCGACCATTTGGGCCCCGCTGTCTGAGTTGCGCGGCCGCCGCCTCCCCATTGTCATTGCCATGTTTGGCTTCACCCTCTTCTCTATTGCCTGCGCCACCGGCGAGAACATTCAGACTATTCTCATCTGCCGCTTCTTCAGTGGCTTGTTTGGTGCTTGCCCGCTTGCCGTCGTCGCTGCCGTCTTCTCCGACATGTTTGATAACAGATCCAGAGGCATCGCCATCACCATCTTCTCCATGGCAGTCTTTACCGGTCCCATGTTCGCGCCCTTTATTGGTGGCTTCATAGTAGAGTCTCACCTGGGTTGGCGCTGGACCGAGTATCTCGCCTCCATCATGGGTGCCGTCGCCTTCATCCTCGACCTGTTCTTCCTCGAGGAGACGTACGCACCCGTAGTGCTCATCTCCAAGGCCTCTGAGCTGCGACGTCGCACCAAGAACTGGGGAATTCACGCCAAGCAGGAGGAAATTGAAGTAGACCTTAGGGAGCTCCTCTCCAAGAATTTGTCCCGTCCACTGCGACTACTATTTACCGAACCCATCATCCTGCTCCTCTCGATTTATATGAGTTTCATCTACGGCATCCTCTACCTCTTCTTCTCTGCCTATCCTCTCGTCTTTGTTGGCGTCCACGGCTTCAGCTCTGGCGTCGCTGGCTTGACCTTTTTCGGCATGATTATCGGACAGCTGCTTGCCGGTGGTACAGTCATTTTGCAGCAGCCTTGGTACAATCGAAAGCTGGCAGCCAACAATGGTCTCCCGATCCCTGAATGGCGACTGCCCAGCATCATGGCTGGTGGTATTGCCTTTGCCATTGGCATCTTTTGGTTTGGCTGGTAAGTGCAGTGAAAGCGGCGATGTGGTTGCACAATTCCACCCAGGCAATTGCTAACACGCACGCAGGACCGGTTACCGAAGCGATATCCACTGGATCGCACCCACGCTTAGCGGTCTCTTAACCGGGTTCGGCCTCATGTCGATTTTCCTCCAGGCTCTCAACTATCTTGTAGACGCCTACCTCATGTTTGCCGCGTCCGCCATTGCCGGCAACACCTTTCTGCGATCTCTCTGCGGCGCTGGCTTCCCGCTATTTGCACGTCAAATGTTTCAGGGTCTCGGCATTCAGTGGGCGGGCACGTTGCTCGGCTGTATCGCTCTGCTGCTAGCCCCCATTCCCTTTGTCTTTTACAAGTGGGGAGCCAGTATTCGCGGTAGAAGCAAGATTGCCCCGACGTTTTCTGCGCCGCCCGATATCCCTCACGATGAGGATACTGAGTCGATGGGCGAAAAGGACGACGTCGTCACGGATCCCGCCGTCTTGTCGGCAGCCCCAAGAAGCGAAAACGAACAAAATGGCCAAACACAGCAAGTTTAATTAATAAAGGGGGTCACGCATTTAAACAATTTGTTGGAAGCATGAAAGAGTATTGTTGAAAAGAGTGGTGCATACAAAGCTGCAGAGCTCTGTGAGCTGTGCAGTAAAGCTTTTGGATACTTGGCTGTGTGTTTTCTGGCACTGGCGTTTTGGGACTAGGCCGGCATTGTCATTGCTCTTGTTTTATTTACCATATATCCATTACTATTACGTATTATTATAATTATAAACTTATCGCCATGGTTTCAAAGCACACTTGTAGATTTCTGGCGTATATTTACTAACAAACTGCTAGGCAATAGGACGTCCGCCTCCTCCACACCCTGCTGGAGGAGATGGGCAGCGACGCTGCCAAGGCGGCGGACATGGCATGGAAGGGTGACCCCAAGTCCACCGACGACGAGGGTGAGTAGAGCTAGGCACGGTCCGGGAAAAAGGTTTATTTTTGTTTTGTTTTTTATCTTTAGCGCAGCCAGTACAGCGCGGCTCTGTGGAGGGGGGGAAGAAGTTCTACCGAAACGAAGACGGTACACTGACTATATCTGGCCATAAGACTGAGTTTTTACTGCCCAAGGGTCAAGCAGGGACAAAGAGAAAGTCACCATAGAGGGCAGGCGAGGGCAGGCATCCTCACAAAAGGAGTACCAGAGACCTCCTCGTGAAGTGACACCGAACATTCAACAGCCTGCACCAGGGACTGGAGAAGGATTAGCCAGTCTCAAGCAACAGCCAAGTCAATCAACAGCCAGTCAATCAACAGCTAGTAAGTCCTCAGCTAGTGAATCCTCAGCCGATACTTTAGTACGCCCACGATGGCGATGAGGTGGCCATGACTGCGGTGAAGATTCGAGAAGAGAGAGAAAGAGAAAGGAGAGAGAGGGAGAGAGAAGTGGAGAGAAAGAGAGAGAGAGAAAGAGAGAGAGGACACCAAAACACGCCCACAACGCTATTGACCGAGAACAGCTTTTGATTAAAATCTACGAAATGGCCGGGTACCTACAGCGCATCTGCAAAGGCCCTGCAGCTGAGCTGCGTTTTTTTTTTCTGCCGCTCTTGGCTCCATTTGCCCGAGCTCTGAGGCTCTGGCTATCTTGGATTTGACGGTTTTGACTGCCACCACCCCAATTAGCAGCCGTATTTGGTTATGCGGAGTTACGGACGGCTGCAGCAGCCACATGTTGGTGACGAAGTGAGCCCACCACGACCTACTGCCGGTGTGTGTGGGACGTGGGGAGAATATCAGACGGGGAGAATATCAGACGGGGAGAATATCAGACGAGGGCTCTCTCTCTCTCTC